TGAGTTGAAGAGAAACCAAAGGGAGCACTCGCATCGCAACGAGGCTGATGGCAGCCATAGTTATGGAAGCCACTGCTCCCTAGGGAAAGATAACCTCCTGGAGATCTACCCAAACCCCACCACGACCCTGTATCACCAATTCTGCCCCTTCCAGCCCTCCAGCCACCAGCTCCCAGAGTTGGGCGTGCTCAAATAAAGGAAGGACTTGCCTTCCCTGCTTGCCTCGCACCTCCCCTCCCTTCCCCAGCCCATCAAAGGGCTGACCTGAGACCAGCACTGCCCTTTCTGCACCTCCCCCGCGGTGGGCTCTGACCCTCGGTCCTGCATCCTTGCAGGGCAGCTGGATTACATCCCGCAGTGCAGCGGCCACGGGAACTTCAGCCTGGAGTCGTGCAGCTGCGTGTGCATGGAGGGCTGGGCGGGCAGCAACTGCTCCGAGCCGCTCTGCCCGCGGGGCTGCTCCAGCCGCGGCGTGTGCCTGGAGGGCCAGTGCATCTGCGACAACGACTACGGGGGCGAGGACTGCTCCCAGCTCCGCTGCCCCGCCGGCTGCGGCTCCCGCGGGCTCTGCGTGGACGGAGAGTGTGTCTGTGAGGAGGGTTTCACCGGCGAGGACTGTTCGCAGCTGCGGTGCCCCCGCGACTGCTCGGGGCGGGGGTACTGCGTGAACGGCACGTGTGTGTGCCAGGAGGGCTTCGCCGGCGAGGACTGCGGGTGGCTGCACTGCCCCAACGCCTGCAGCGGCCGCGGGGTCTGCAGGGACGGGCTCTGCGTCTGCGAGGAAGGCTACGAAGGGCAGGACTGCTCAGCAGGTAGTGGGGGCATGCATGGGGAACAGCCAGGCATGAGTGTACAAGCGAGGGTTTCAGGGTGCCCAGAGTCCCATAGGAGCGACACGAAGCCTGGGAGAAACCCATACCCAGCAGAGCACATCACCTAGGACACACTCAGGCCCCACAGTCTGAGTTGCCTCCCTGTTGTCTCTGTCTCCAGAGACAGGACAGTTAAATGTCTGGGAGGCAAGCAAAAAGCCAGCGAGGTTCATCCCAAAATGGGGGCTAAACCCCTGATGCAACTGCGGCTGCAGTCAGGTTCTCCTGAGCCTTTACCTTGCTGTAGCTGTTCATACACCCACAGAGAGCACGTAACCCCCAGCCCAGAGCCCGTGTCCCACCAGCAGACCCACACACCCTCCCACACAGCCACGTGCAAGGATAAGCCACGCACAGCCTGACACTCTCCTCTCTCTCTGCCCTTCCCACCAGTGGCTCCTCCTGAAAACCTGCGAGTGACAGGGATCAGCGACAGCTCTGTGGAGCTGGCGTGGGACAGCACCGGGGCAACCACCGAGTACGTGGTGTCGTACCAGCCAGCGGTGCCAGGGGGCACCCAGCTCCAGCAGCGGGTGCCTGGGGACTGGAGCAGCATCACCATCACGGATCTGGAGCCTGGTGTTGCCTACAATGTCAGCATCTACGCAGTCATCAGCGATGTCCTGAGCATCCCTGTTACCTCCAGGGTGATGACCAGTAAGTATCCTACTGCACTTGTTGCTTCCATGAAAACCTTCTAGCAGCAGAAACTTGAGTCTTAAAAAAACTCCACCAAAAACAAACAAACAAAAAAAAACAAACAAAAAAACCCCTGGGGATATTTTTATCCCTATTTATGGCTGTACGGGGTTACAGGAAAGGGGGAAATGTGTCCACCCTCTTCAGAAAGAGTCTAGATGAAAATCTGAATATCTAAAAAAAACAAAAAAAAAATTTCAGTGCTTGATTGAAGCCCCCAGAATATGGGAGGCAATAGTGCAGCAAGAGGGGATGCTGCTGTGCATCAGGAGTTACATAGTCCTCACCAGGACTGCGATGCACAGAGGAAAACAAGAGTATCAAGCCGTAATGGTAATCTCCAGAAAGGATCCTAGGAAACTGAAGTAAGGATACAAGAGGGCAGGGGGAAAACAGAAACTATCCAGACCTTTGCAAAACCCCTTTGCAATCCCATCATCCACTCTGTTCACACGATAGTGTAGTGGGATGCTTCAGTGTCCAGCAGCCCAGGCATTTCCCCCTTTTCCATCCAACCCACCTGGAGGGGGGACAAAGGAATTTTGCTAACAGCTACCAAAAGGTTCCCCATTTTTGTTGCCCTGATAACAAAATACCCACAGGGAGCAGGGTGGGGACTGGCAGCACCCACACACCCATCCCACTGTGCTCACCACCCCTACCCCTGCTCCCTTCCAGACCTCGCCACGCCACAGGGGCTGAAGTTCAAGACCATCACAGAGACGACAGCAGAGGTGCAGTGGGAGCCCTTCTCCTTCCCCTTCGATGGCTGGGAGATCAGCTTCATTCCCAAGGTATCGCTGCTGCACTCATGGCATCACGGGGTACACTTAAAGCACCAAGCTAGCAGATCCTAAATCAGCTTCCAATTACCCCCTTCCCAAAATACCCAGCCTGTGTTTGCCATTTGCTTGCTGCACATCAGACACCCCAAACACTGCCAGCCTGCACTTCCCCAGTAGTTTTGACATACATGTCCTCAAAGAAATTCCCCCCTAAAATCCAGAGACAAGCTTATAAAGAAATAAACCTTCCAGCCTCTTGCTGTTGCCCCCTCTCTTTTCCTTCCATCTCCTTTGCAGTGACCCTTCCTCCTCCTCCTCCTCCTCTTCCTCTGCCCTGCTCTCTACACCAAGCTCCCCAGAGCTGCCTGGATCAAACCGAGCAGCTGTCAGCTCTCAGACAACAACCTTCAACATCCCCGAGTCACACGCACAGCTAATTCCTGCCACGGAATTTTAATGGCAGTGATGAACAGGTAGAAATTGTGCCAGAAAAGATGGATAAAAATGTTGCCCTAAATATCGCATATTTTCTGTGCGCGGCGACAAAAATCGTACATCAAGTATTTCATCTATATTCATAATTTCTACACCATTTAGCCATAAGTATAGCTTCAATTGTATGTGGAGCCTCTTTTCAAGAGCATTCAAGCCCCAGCAGTAAAAGAAATGCTGATTAAGGGCTCAATTATGACGTTTTCACTTGTACAAAACCCTCACTGGATTAAAAGGCAGCTCTGGGCAGCGGGGAACTGCAGAACTTGGTCCCAAAGTTTTAAATGCTCTTAACTGTAAAGTATCATTACACAGCACAAAGCAGGGGCCCAATTGCTTTAAATAACTCAATTCCAAAGAGGCTGGAAGGTTCTTGGTGCAACACGATTTGCATGTGGACGTGGCCAACACTGCAAGTTGAAGTTCAGGTAGTGCAGGTATAAACTGTGGGATAATTTTCACTCACCATCAGGAGAAAAGCTGAAAAATACGGCAACATCAGGAAAGAGCTTTTGGTGGGAAAAAATAGCTCCCTTTCAAACACTCACTGATACTCAGGAATTAAGCTCAACAGCATCCCCTTGAAGCAGATAGATGAGGATATATCCCTTTTAGGGTGAGGAATCACCAGGATAGAAGCAAACCTCTCCCCACAGAGTCACCAACAATAGGTTTTTGCTCAAGCTCACCAAAAAATGCAAATCACTGGTCCTCCTTTCCATTTTCAATCTTAAAAACACATGGAAGTCTTTTGGGATTTAAAGGCAGATAAGATGCAAAAGTCTGGCTGTTCCCAGATGCAAGGTTTTGGGTGGAGAAGGGACATAACTCACTGGGCTTTGAAGTTCTCACATCCATTGGCCAAGTACAAGGTCCTGCACCAGAAAAATCACAGTCATGCTCTTGCCTGTCAGCTGCCAAAATTGGACTCTCCATCACCAGCTTTTCCCCTACAATAAGGCAGAGGGTGCTGTGTCCTTCACTGTCTGCAAGCAACACTTGCCTGAGAACATGCCACACCCAAATAAACCCAAAACTTAGTCCCAGAGGCTAAAAACAATGCAGTTATAACAGCAGTGTCACAAATAACCTCTGTGAGAAAAACCGAGCTCCCTGTCTTCCCAAAAACTCAGTGAGAGGATGCTAATTTGGTCCTCAGCATCCCCACAAGGATGCTTGCACTTTCCTGCAGAGCAGTTCTCCTTCTGTGGTGTCCACAGTGCTCTTACCCCCCAGCCCCCCAAAATCCAGGTCAGGTGGGTATTGCCCATATGCTGCCCGCACTGAGGATGGCATGGGGGAAAAATGAAGCAAAGGCAGATTTAGCAAAGAAAATTAGGAAAGGTAAGATGGCAATTGATGGCTAAAATGGAACATTTCCTGTTTAATGAGAAAAGAGATGAATATGAATGGGGAGCTATATGCAAAGATTTGTTTAGTGTGTTATTAGTGAAGACAGCAGCAAGAAAAGATCCTTTGTCCAAACACTGGCAGGAAAGGTGACATTTGCAGTTCTTTAAAGCCTTACAGCTTTTCAGGGCAAAACTGCAAAGCGTAATGAGTGTAATAAAGATGGTTAAAAAGCAGGGGATGGCAAAACAAAGACCTCACAGTTTCATACCTGTATATCAACTACAGAAAGCTCCTGGCACCTGAAGAGCAGGAAAAAGTAGTCTAGCCAAGGCTATGTTTTTATTCTCTTTTCCCTTCCGAAGAACAGCAGAGACACAGATGGCAAAATACAGAAGCTGAGGGGGGAAGGGATGGGGAAGGATTTTGCAGCCCAGCAACATGGGTGCTCCCTGCTTGGTAGGTGACTTCAGCCTGGGTTTCTGCACCTCCATGGTGGGATGTGATCTGGGGATGCACGGCTGGCCATGGAAGAGTGTGAAGGGCGGGGGGAGGGCACCTCCTCTCCATGCATCAGTCCCCCCAAACCACCATTTTTGTGGGATTTTTTTTAATGCTTATTTCCACTCCCTGGCAGAATAACGAGGGTGGTGTGATTGCTCAGCTGCCCAGCACTGTCACCACCTTCAACCAGACGGGGCTGAAGCCGGGGGAGGAGTACACTGTCACCGTGGTGGCCCTGAAGGAACAAGCCAGGAGCCCTCCCACCTCCGACAGCGTCTCAACCCGTGAGTGAGCCTGACCTGGGGGAGCACGACAGAGCCCAGGGCTTGGTCCCAAAAATAAGATCCTATCAGCAAGAGCAGCCTGGCACTGCATGGGCAGGGATAAAAGTAGCAGCATCCCGGTACCCAAGCACTGCAGCACCAGCTTCTTCATGCAGTATTTTGTCCCTCTCCCTCCTGAATTGCCACAAGCACAGAAACCGTGGCGAGGTTAATGGGGTTGGGAGTGAAGACTCGGGTCTGCTTTTATTATATAGCTGGATAAATTCTTCTTCTCTGCTAATCTCACATTTCAGAGGCTGCAAGCCCTCAAGAAATATCTCTATAAATGTATTACTTACTCATATATAACAGATTAAAACTCCCACCTGCTTTTGTTCCACTAAATGCCCTCTACTCCCACCTATTCAGGCAAATCAGGCAGCAGGGCCGGGAGCCAGGAGCAACAGCGTGTCCCTTCCTAACCCATTTATTTGCCCAGTCCCTGGTCCATCCTGTAGACCAGAGAAAACTGTGTCTTCTCCTCGCCGAAGGAGACGCAGCAATGGGCAGAGCTCACTGGGAGAAGAGGTTCTCCACGCCAGACCTGCTGCAGTCTGCCTTGGCAGTCAGGCAGACGTCTGCTACCTCCACCCAAGCTGTTCCAAACAGAAACAGCACTTAAGTAGCTGCTGGAGGGCTGTAACAAGGTGATGCTCTTCAGGTTGCTAATTTGAGGCAGTGGTGAGAGCAAAGGGAGGGTCCCTCCACCAGCAGTGGTTTGCTGCAGGTCTGAGCTTCCTCGGCTCAGTCCTCTCCTCCCGCTTTGCGTCCACGCTCAGCTCGACGTGGCTTAACAGAGACATCTCCTGGTCAAGCCCAAATCTTCCTTTCCCATGGATGTCAGCACAAAATACAGAGGCTGGTACTTCGAACTCCGAGGTTGACCTTTGCAGGGAGCACAGTTGGCGCGGTGGCTCCCAGCTTTCTGCTTCCTGAAGGCATCCCTGTGCTGGCATGTCTGCCTTCCTCTGCAGCACCCCCACAGCTTAATACTCATCATCCTTGTTCTGCCTCAACACCTTGTGCCGGGATCAAGCAGAAAAGCCATGGTTTTATGGCACACAGCTAAGTAGATGTGCATCACCTGGATGACTGGACAACGTGAAGTAGTTTGAGATTCAGGGTCTGGATAAGCGTGACCTGGTCCTGGATACCCAGCTCCTACCTAAACACTGTGCTTCCCAGCTGCCCTCCCTCCTCTGTTGCTGTTTTGCCCTCAGACCTCACCCCACTGCTCCAAATTCCCCCACATGTCTTTTTCCAACCCTCCCTGGTCCTTCTCACCCCTGCCCACACAGATTCTCCCACAGAACTTCTGACCCTGGCATGCAGCATTCAGCACACCCTTATTATATAGTTATTTTGTCTTATATTCACTATACTAGATCTATACAGATATACAGTATATTCTGAATTACAGAACCAGAGTGGGCTTTCTCACCCACCTAGTGATCATGCAAGTGATAAAACAGGCTGCCCAGCAGGCATCAGCACTGCCATGGCACAGGAGCAATGGCCAGGCTTGGCCTCATCCATCCATGTAGTGTTTAAGTCCTGCTGGGCTCCAAGCATCCATCAGCCAGGCTTCAGTCCATGATGTTCAAAGGTTGAGTGTTGGGGGCTCTGGAGGAGGGAAGGGCTCAATTCTCTGCAAAAGAAAGCAGAAACATCTGAAAGTGTCTCCCAGTAGATCCCTGGTATGAATTTACCTAAACACCTTTTATCTGAGGGAGTTTGTTGGACACCCACCATAGCCCACACCCAGCTAGATATGAAGACTCACCAGAGCAGTTGCATTTTCTCCTCCCTCCCCACAGCCAAGACATCAACAGCTTTACAGCTGATCCCTCAGCTTAAGGACAAACCAGGAGCTGGCACCAAAGCAGGAACATTTCTAGAGATGTTCCTCAGTTCTAAATGCTTGGATCTGTCCTTGGCCCCACGTCATTTAACACGTTGTCAACACCTTTCAAAAGACATAATATCATTACTGATAAATGTTACCAGTGATGGAAAGGCCCAGAAAAGAGTAAATTGAGTGGAAGATCCTCGATTAAAGTAGTCTGGATGCTTTGAAGAGCTGGGCACAAAGTTACACGTTTTCCAATGCAAAAGTACAGGCAGTTATCTAGGAGCAAAAAAAGTGGACCACAGTTAGATATAGGAGGTTTTATCTTGGGAAATACCACCTGGAAAAGCCAGGGAAGCATTGTCGCCGATAACCAGCTTGAGAGAAGGGCATGAGTTGCATTATAGCTGTAATGGTATCAGTGAGAGAGCTGCTGGGCCCACAGAGAGTGGAGTGGATTCAGGAAAGAGCCAGGAGATTGGGACAAGGGACTGGGAACCCCCAAGGACCAAACCCCCTACCTTGGGGTCAAGGCCTTGCTTATGTCACCTCTCTCCCTGTCCCCAAATGCTAACCCCAGCCGCTCTGAGGGCCGGGCTGAAGCACCCCAGAAGCTTGGCAACCCCAGAGCTTCCCCCTTTCCCCACCCAAAGTAACAGGTGCCCGTTTCCCCCCCCCCATGCTCCGCAGTCATCGACGGCCCGACGCAGATCGTGGTGCGGGACGTCTCGGACACCGTGGCCTTCGTGGAGTGGACGCCGCCGCGCGCCAAGGTGGACGCCATCCTGCTGAAGTACGGGCTGGCGGACGGGGAGGGCGGGAGGACCACCTTCCGCCTGCAGCCCCCCCTCAGCCAGTACTCCCTGCAGGCCCTGCGCCCCGGCGCCCGCTACCACCTCGCCGTCAGCGCCCTGCGGGGTGCCAACGAGAGCCGGCCAGCCCTCGCCCAGTTCACCACAGGTAGCTAGACTGGCTTTGCTGGGAGAGCTGGCGTGAGCTTTTAGGCCCGCAGCAGGCACGGGCTTGCTGCGATCTGCAGATGGGCTGTCCTGCAACGAGGACGTATCCGGAGACAAAGTGAGGGGGTTTTTGCATCTGGGATTTAGTGGCACCTGGTCTGCCCCTGGCACAAGTGAGCTGGGGTTTAGTGTGTGGTGTGTGCTAGGAGGAAGAAGTGGAATGAAAGCACGATGGTTAAGATGCAGGTGTGAGTGGAGACGCCTGAATGCAGGTGCCTCGCATCCCTCATAGAGCAAGGCAGAGCAAATGATTCAGCTGCCCCTAAAATACACACCCTAAAATGGTTCTCTGATCCCTTTACTCGTGCCTACATTACTGTTTAGTCCCTAAACCTCCAGTGCAACAGGTCTTCATGCCCTGTGCCCCACAGGGATGGTCACATGGTCCCCAGGGCAGTCCAGGTGATCCCAGATGCCAATGACCAGGCATGGATGACTCAAAACCCCACATTTAGACAGACCCTGAGTCAACTCCACCTTGGTCGTGTCCTGCTGCAGCATCAAATCTGAACCTGCCTGGGACACACATCCCCACCAGATTCAGTGCCCGTTTAGACACACAGCTGAGCTAAAACTCTAAAACCCAGCACCCCTAAGAGCACCCAGAGCTCCATGCAAAGTTCTCAAAAGAACCATAACACTCAGCACAGGTCTGAATTCAAGACAATGCTCACTCCCATTCAGCACTGAGAGCCAAGGCAAATACCTTGCCTGAGGAATTAGCAGTCAAGCAGCTGAAAGCAGCCCAGCCAGAAACATGGTTATCTCATTTTATATCTTCTCTAAACAGCCTAACTGGTCAGTAAAACTTTAATTAATGTTAAGCCTGCAGACACCTAACGGGTTTAATTTACCGTGCCATAAAGGAGGAGGCAGAGTGTGTATTTCCATGCTGGCTTATGGTATATAAATTACTTGTCATGTACGTTACTGGTGGATACGAGGCTCCTACTGTAATAACTGTGGTATGTGAATTGTGTGTGTAAATATCTCTATAGATAAATATTTCGGAAGAGATGTTCGCCCCGACTGATTTGCTGCGTTGGCCTTCCTCGCTTTATTTCTAAAAGGCAACACAAAAAATCCCCCCCGAACTCAGATCCATCACCATTACCCGCTGTCTGCTGGTGCCCAGCCCCAACCCATTGCTCACCACAGGGTTTATTGTGCAAACCAGAGCAGATTTGGTGCACAGCCTCAGCAGCACTAATAAACACTTTGGGAAACGTCTGGGTGTGAATAAGCCTGTAAAGATGCTCAAGGTTCTTCTAAGAGCAGTTCAGGCCAATGCATGGTTGCTACAGAGCCCTCACACTGCCTCACTTTCCCTTACTCTGCTATGGGGGGAAAACAGTTTTCTTTTCCAAATAACATGGAATTAGCTCCCAAAGCAACTTACTAAGGATGCTGTGAGTGCCCCAGCACTCACACCGCTCACCTGGGCAGCACCTCCCAGTCTGTGCTGAGCAGCAGGTGAGAGCAGATATCCCAGCCCTTCCCGTGCCCTGGGGAGGAGGGACCGCTCATGGGACCTCCCAGGCATCACACCCGTGTGCCCCTCCACCCTCGGGCCGTGCCAAGGCTCCGGGGTGCATTCCCGGCGGTGAGACGGTGCCTCTCTCCCTTGTGTCGCGCAGAGATCGATGCCCCCAAGAACCTGCGGGTGGGCTCGCGGACGCCCGCCAGCCTCGAGCTCGCCTGGGACAACAGCGAGGCCGAGGCCAACAGCTACAGGGTGGTCTACAGCACCCTGGCCGGGGAGCACTACCACGAGGTCCTGGTGCCGCGCGACACCGGTCCCACCACCCGCGCCACCCTTGCAGGTATGTGTGCGCCCTTCCTCCCCCTCCTCCTTCTCTCAAGCAGGTAGGGCAACAGAGAGCCTAAATCAGCACTGATACGCCGTTGCCCTTATGCTTTTTGAGGTTGTTTTTGAGTTTACTGCTTACCGGAGAGAAGGTTTTCCTTGGGATGTAGCTCATTTCCCCCTGCGTGGGTCTGGATTTGGGTGCTGCTTATCCACAAGTGATACACCTCCAAAGTAACACACCTCCAAATCAGGCACCTCCAAGTCATGCACCTCCACCAGAGATCTTTCTGGGTGCCAAATGGAGCTGGCTAGGAGCAAAGTGAGAAATGAGGAGAAGAAGCCTTTTCAGGCTGATCTAGAGGGAAATATTATTTCACCCTTCTCTTTTTTTCCTTGTTGGGAAAGAGACACAGGTGATGATGCCCCGTGGGCAGTGATGGGGAGCCAGACTGCCCGAATTTGTTGCCTTTTTCCAAATCAGGCACAAAGCAGACCCAAACCTAGGGATGTTATTTTTGAGCAAGTCCTTTAAGTGGTACACAATTCAGGCCAGCACAGGGGGTGCCACCAGGCACTGCAAACACCACCCACCTCTCGCTGCCAGGAAAGCCCCAAACACCTCGTGCAGCAACACAGCAAAGCACCATGTGAGATCTGGTTTCCTTTTTTTTTTTTTTCCTACCAGAACTGCTTGCCTGATGGATTTGCCACTCTGGTGGCACTTTTTGAGCAAAGAAAAGACTTACACAAAAAAGAGTTCACTCATTCAGCTTGAAGCTCTTCAGTATGGCAGGACATCAGGTTCCTCCATGTTGACTCTCTGCCCTCCCAGGACCTTCAAGGGCTCAGGAATTTGCCACGTGGAGCTATAGGAGTAAGTCCAGAAGGAAAGTCAAATGTTAAGTTGCAGGCACAGCAGCAGAGTCATGAGAAGGGCTGGAGGGCAGGAAGGCAATTAGAGCAGATAGCTTGAAAAACGTGGTATGCGGAAAGAAGAAAAATGTTAGGGATAGTTTCTGCTGCGTACCTGATGAGGACACGCATGGAGAAGTGGGATGAGATCAGAGGTTGGCTGCTGGGCTCCTGCTAGCTTTCCTCTAGGACATTTATTGGCTTTCCAAGTGAGAAGAAGCATTAAAAATGGGCCAAACTGCCCTCCCTGGGGCAGAGGTACAACATAGCACCGGTGACACAAACTGCGACGACACCCATGGCAGAACCTGAGCTTGCCTTGGAGGACGTGGCAGTCTGAAGGCTCTTGTTTTTCTCAATAAAATTAAAAAAGGTGCCAAGTCTCTGCCAGACTCAGGCAGGGCTGCAAGAAATCCCGCCAGAGCAAGCTGCAGAGATGCAGAGGCTTAAGTCGATAGCAGTGAGTGATTTTTACATAGTGCCTCCATCATCACCTAAGTGCATTGCTTCCAGTTCCCAGGGTAATAAACAAACCAATTAAAAAAAAAATCCAATCATGGCATAAAATAACCCAAAAAATCATTCTGCTGGCAAAAAAAAAAAAAAAGCCAGGAGAGCTGTGGTGTGGATGGCACTGAGCTCTCCCATAGCTCTGATATGCACAGAGCAGTCCTGTCCTCCAGTCTTGTATGGGGAGCAAAACACATTGGGGTGTGTTTCCAGCCAGCCTGATGGGATCCATGATATGAAAGCAACCAGTAATTCCTTCCATCACCTTCATCTGCCTGCAGGAAAAGCAGTGAGGAATGGCACTGAGCAGAGTTTATCAAAGATTTAAGCTTAAAAATACAGCAAGCCTTGCCCTGCCCCATAGTCTCTCTTAAAAACCAGCATTTGCACAGAAGTATCCATAACATTGCACTACCCAAAAGAGATGGCAGAGAAAAAGGACTGGTTTATATGCTCCTGCTCATTTCTTCCTTCTCCTCTCCCTTTCTCCCAGGCTCTTCTCCTCCTTTCCAGGATACTTCTGACACTTACTGGGGAGGGCCTATATGTGATGTGGGTCCATCTTCCCCCCATCACCAAGACTGCACTGTAGCAAGAGAAGAGCAGGGGGTGAGGGTTTCCCTCTCTCCTGACCTCTTGAGGAAGGTTTTGGTGGCTCCAGGGGATGCTGCCCCTGGGCAAGGCAGGGTGAGGCTGGGCTGGAGGGTTTATGGCTTTTTTAGCTCTGTGGGAAAGATCAGGAAGCAGAGGGAGGAGAGGAATAGAGCCACCAGCAGCCAAGCAGAAGTGACAGGCAGAGGCAGGAGATGTCCCACATGGTTATCACAGCAATCAGGAAAGGAACTGGATGAACTCGACTCCCATGTCCCTTAAGAGAGGCACTGCAGGATACATCTACCCCAAGGAGCAGGGCTTGATTCAGCTCCCAGGAAGATTGCACCTTTCCTAATTAATGTATATTTCATTTACTCTGCTTAATTTATTTCTTTTCAAGACACCAGCCCTGTGACAATATTCGATGTTGCATCACTTTGGAAACAAATATAGCTACTTTGTCATTCCCATCTCAGCTCGCACACACAGAGCTTCTGTCTCGCTGCCAGCAGTTACAGCAGACCTCAGCAACAACTTTTAAAAATGTCTTGTTTCTGAGCTAAAATAATCCAAATTCCCTGTCCAAAGGCAAGCACAGGGCTTTTAAAGAAGGCTCAGCGCTTCTGCAATGCACGGAGGAACTGCTGACCTGTGGGAGGGCTGCTCACCCCAGGGGTGCCCTGGATGTCCCCAGCTGTGGGAGCTGGGGGGGTTGCACCCTGAGGTCACCCTGCCAGGCACTGTTCTCACACCCCTTCGTGTCTTTTGTGCTCCCTGGCAGATCTGGTGCCGGGAACAGAGTACGGCATTGGGATATCGGCCGTGATGGACAGCCAGCAGAGCGTGCCGGCCACCATGAACGCCAGGACTGGTGAGTTTGGTCCCACTGCCTGCTTCACACACAGCTGGCTCCTGTGGCTCAGATGTCCCCATGGGACAGTCTGTGCATGGGGACAAAGCTCTGCACCAACTCTCTCCCACAGAGCTTGACAGCCCCCGGGACCTCGTGGTGACAGCCTCCACAGAGACGTCCATCTCACTGGCGTGGACCAAAGCCGCAGGTCCCATCGACCACTACCGTGTCACCTTCACCCCTGCCTCAGGGATGGCCTCGGAAGTGACGGTGTCTCGGGACGAGTCACAGCTCACCCTCTCAGAGCTGGAGCCCGGGACGGAGTACACCATCTCCATCATCGCCGAGAGGGGACGGCAGCAGAGCCTGGAGGCCACCGTGGACGCCTTCACAGGTAAAGACAGACAAGTTGGGATGGGGCCAAGGCCACAGACCACTACCCTGTGTTGTCACCTCTGCCAGCCCACCACATCCCCAGCACCAAAACCCTTGGGCAGTGATGGGGATGAGAGCTGGGGTCAGTGTGTCCACATGGAAACAGATCTGTTGACCTCAGAAGGAGGATGGTCCTACCAATGTGGTGGCACAGTCCCCTTGTCCAGCAGCACTGAGCACACTTGCCTGGCTGGAGGCTTCCGAAAGGACAAGGCAGGAATGGGGGAACAGACAGCCCATGCTGTTCTGTGTTGTCAGGGTGGTCTGTATGTCCGTCACTGCAGACTTTTCAGTCAGAGAACCTTGTTAGGTCCCTCAAGGCTTCATTTCTCCCTCTTTTGAAGTGCAGACAACACATACCATCTGCAGTAGGACAGCTCCATCACCTACCAGATGGATCCAGGTTGGAGGGTGTTTGCAGGCAGGGCTGACAAAAGCACCATTTTCCCCCTCCTGGTTCTGCCTATTGACATCAGCACAGCTTCAAATCAGTGGAGATCCCAGAGCTCCAGCTTTGCTATCTCTCTTGGGTGTTTCCCAAATCAGCACTGGGAACAACGTGGAGGCCAGGATCTGCAGACGGTTGGGGTTGCATCTCTCCTCTCCGCCTTCCAGGTGTTCGACCCATCACACAGCTCCACTTCTCCCAGCTGACGTCCTCCAGTGTCAATGTCACGTGGAGTGACCCATCCCCACCTGCAGACCGCCTCATCCTCACCTACGGCCCTCGGGACGCGGAGGAGGCGCAGCAGGTCACCCTGGACGGCACCCGCCGGCACGCTGGCCTGACGGGCCTGCAGCCCTCCACCGAGTACCTGGTGTCCCTGGTGGCCGTGCACGGCGCCGTCAGCTCCGAGCCTGTCGTGGGCTCCATCACCACAGGTACCACAGGACACCCCCCACCAGGCACGGGACCCCACCGGGAGGGCAGGCAGGGGGACAAGGAGTGGACCTGCCTCCCACAGCTTTGCTTTGCGCTCCACCTCTCCAGGGATCGATGCGCCGAAGGACCTCAGGGTGGGCAATGTCACCCAGGAGTCCATGATGGTCTACTGGAGCCCTCCCATTGCTGCCTTCGACCACTACAGAATATCCTACCGTGCTGCTGAAGGTAAGGGATCAGAGCACTCTTGCTCATGCCCTGAGCTCCCAGCTGCCAACCCTCCCTCCGTCTGCTGGCATGAACAAGCCACCAGGTCATCCTCATCCCAGACAGCATCCCATGCCCTGGTAAAAGCCACCAATAAATGGCATGGAACAAAAGGCTACAGGGACAGAGGATGGAGTGTCAGGGATGGGGATGAGAAGGGACAACTGCAGCCAAGGGCCAGCTTGGCACAGAGGGGCACAGGGAGCAACCCCCTGCAGTATGTGGTTCACAGGGATGGCTAATTCAGGGCTCAGTCCTGAAATCCCACCTCCCTCATCTGCTTCCACTACCTCGTCTTCCTTGGCCCCAGTTTTGCTTATGATGCTGAAAAGGCCAAGCCAGCAGTGATGAGCACCTGCAGGCATGAAACCCAGTTAACTCCAGTACCTTGTGGCACTGCCCTCCCCTCCCGAGCACCTCCTGTACCCCAGGGATGGGACCAGCTGTACTGCCAAAGCTCTTGGCTCCATTCCTGCAGGGAGGACAGACAGCACCGCCCTCCCCAAGGATGTCACCGAGCACGCCCTGCACCACCTGGAGCCCGCCACCAAGTACGAGATCGGGGTGAAGAGCGTGCGGGGCCGCGAGGAGAGCGAGCTGGCCTCCATCACTGCCTACACAGGTGGGAAGGGGCTCCTGCTGGGCAGGGAGCAACCAAATAGTGACAGCTCCAGCCCTGGGCAGGGCTGGCAATCCCTTCTTGCCTTAGTAATCAGGCGACTGAGAGCAAGCTGGACCTCATGCCAGCCTGATGCAAGCTTGGGATGATAAGCAAGGCTCACAAGGGCCCAATGTGGGCTTTTGAAATATGTCTCAGCAAAGCTTTTCCAGAATATTCATGGGTAGTCATGGGGGAAAGTGATAAACTTGTGTACCAGGCACAGGGAAGCCAGAAACATAATGTTGGACCACCATGACAAGCTTTCTTAAAGGGAGTGCAGATTTTCAGAAATAATCCCTGGGGAAGCCCCTTCACAAACAGCATCTGCTGCAAGAATAAAACCCTCCACTATCCACAGACTCCTCAAAACCTAAAGAAAATCCCTAACATCCCAGGCTGTGCCTCAGGAAAACAGAGGAGGAGCAGCCCAGGTAGCAGAGTAGCACAAGATATGACATCTCTGCACTCCAGCCTAGGCAGCAGTAACATCCCCGCAGGCTCATGTGCCTGAGCAGCAGGGCAAGACCATGAGCAGTGGGCCACAAGAAGCCCTTCCAGTTCATAGCTCAGTCTCCAGTCTCTTAATGCCTCAGACTCTCTGTCTCCCTCATGCAGCCATGGATGTCCCCTTGGGGGTCACGGCCACCAACATCACCCCCACCGAGGCGCTGCTGCAGTGGAACCCGCCGCTGTCAGAGGTGGAGAGCTACGTCCTCATCCTCACCCGCCATGCAGGTACACTGGGGCTCTGTTTCAGCTCACCTCCACCTCTCCCCCATCCCAAAGCCCAGAGTTTGGCAGGTGCCCTTCAGGGAGGGAATAGGGAAGGAGCCCTTACTCTGGGTTTTACAGGGACAGTGGGAAAAATAAGACTATCCTTCAGGTTGAACACCACCACTGCAGCTCAGCCGTGGCACTGCAGGTTATGGTGTTTCAGCATTAGAAGTGCTTCTGTTCGTGAGATCATACCCAGAGGCACATTTTGGAGAATTACATGGAACTTTTACCTAAACCCATCCCTGTTGGCTTACAGTTGCAGGAGAAACAATTCTCGTGGACGGAGACAGCCAGGAGTACCAGCTGACCAACCTGCTGCCCAGTACCACTTACATGGTCTCTATGTATGCCACCAGCGGGCCTCTCACCAGCCAGACCATCAGCACCAACTTCACAACCCGTACGTACAATCACCTCCCCACCTCCCACCCTCAGCCATGCACTCACCCCAGGACAAGCAGCCAGCCAGGCTGAGCCAAAGCTCTTCTCACATACGGTGGGCATGGAAGTAGCCACGTGCCAAAAGGACACCCAAATACTAGCGCTGGGCACAACACAAGAACAGAGCCTTAATCAACAAGCATCTGCCATCATTTTCACTTTTTCAACATCCATCAACTCCTTTCTATCTTTGATTTCCCCTGGATGTGGTTTCCTGAGAATACTCTTGACCAGGTTTTTTTCTAGCCCAAGGCCATAGTCCAGAAGAGCTCTACAACCTGTTTTGCTCACAAGCAGCTTGACATTAACTTCAGAGCTCTTACCCTTGAGGTGGCACCTAGGCAGAGGACTTCTAGAGGGTTTGCAGAGCTCTGTTCAAGGCTGGGGAGGGGTGATGAGGTCTTGAAACTGAGGATGAGGGTGGACTTCAGGCTGTGGCTCAGTGTTGCGAGGTTGAATCCCAGTGTACTGAGTTGGGAAATGGAACTGGGGTGGTTGTGTGTGAGAACGTTCCCTTCCCTGGGGTCCCTATCCACTGTTGCAGTTTTGGATCCTCCAACAAATCTGACTGCCAGTGAAGTCACCCGACGGAGCGCCCTGCTCTCCTGGGTTCCTCCCGTGGGAGAGATTGAGAACTACGTCATGACCTACAGATCCCCCGACGGCAGCCGGAAGGTGAGTGAGTCCTCGCAAAGAAACAGGCTCATTAAATCAGGGAATAACAAGACTATGGAGAAACAACCAGGAGAAACCCTACAAAGCAAAACAACGATGCTCACCGGCTCAGGGAGAGCAGAAGGGCAGGCATTACTTTCTGCATAAGCAGATACTTTAGATAAATAATAAGAAAAAGCAAGAAGAAATTGCCTAAGGCAAAATGATTATGCACACCTGCAGGTCTGAGCATAGAGGGGATACCTGGAAAGTTTGGAGGAACAGGGGAAATTCACGGCTTGTGAAACACAAGAGAGCTGAGGTAGGAGAAAATTATCCTGCAAACAGAGATGCTAAAAATGCCATTTGCCCTTCCTGTGAAAAGGAAGACAGGCACAGACAGCTAATTAATCCCACAATACAATATATTTGATTATTTAATGAGTGTGTCCACATCTGCCTGTCTGGAGAGCTGCTACAAATGCCATCAGAAACACGTCACAGCCACCAGTCTTGTTTCCTTTGCCGGTGTGACTGGCTCACAGCAGCCAGGGGACAGTGGCTCTGCAGAAGGGGTTCAATAACGTTATGTGGCACTCACCCAGAAAAATTAACAGGCCAGGAATCATTGGAGTCAAAACTGGCTGGTAACCAGGTTTGGCCTGCTCTGCTCCTTGTGCTGCTCAGGCCATCAGTCATGCCCTGTACTGAGGGCACGCACATCCCAACAGAGTCGGTAAACAGAGCACACAGACTGCAAACACTTTAATTGCCTGTATCCAAACCATCTTGCTTTCTCCCATGCAAACCGTCCCAAAATGCTGACCGTGTTCATTGCACTCATTGACTCAGTCCAAGGGTGTAAGCAGCCATGCAACGCTCCTTGGCCAGGCACCAAGGGCTGCGGTAGTTTGTGGCTTCCCTTCCCTCCTCGCTTGCTCTTTAGGCTCCCCACCGCTTTTCTCATCTGTTGCTCTTGGTGTCTGCCTCCTTCTGGGACCCATGTACAGGAGCTGATTGTGGATGCCGAGGACACGTGGATCCGCCTGGAGGGGCTGTCGGAGACCACTGAGTACACCGTGCGCCTGCAAGCTGCCCAAAATGCCGTGCGGAGCGGCGTCATCTCCACCACCTTCACCACAGGTGAGGACTTGAGCCACACCCACTCGGGAAGGTGGAGGTCAGCACACATACCGTGCTGGTAGGCATGGACTGCTTCTATGGGCTTTCCCTCCTCAGGCAGCACCCCATCACAGTCCACAGAGAGGTACGTACAATGCCATGCCCCACAGTGCTGCCTTGCTACAAAATGGCTGAAGGATCTATAACACAAACACAAAGACCCAACCCATTTACCAGGCCCTTTTCCTTGTCCTTGCCCCTCCTCAAATGCATAGTCAACATCACGTATCCACAGGTAAGCTCTTGCAGTGAACAGACCAGCTGGGTCTCTCCACACCGTAGATGTGATCCAACCACTCACAAATATCAAAGAATCATAGAATAGTTTGGGTTGGAAGGGATCTTTAAAGGTCACCTTGTCCAACCCCCCTGCAATAAGCAGGGACATCTTCAACTTGATCAGGTTGCTCAGAGTCCTGTCCAACTTGACCTTGAAAGTTTCCAGGGATGGAGCATCCCTGGAAACATAAAGCAGGTGCATCTCCACCACCACCAGTGGGGTCACAGGCAGCAGAGCCAGCACTTTATCTAATCCACTGACTTTATCTAATTGCATTATTCCTCCCCATTTTAATTGCTAGAGAATTCACAATCCACTAAGGCAATGGGAATGATTTGCTTTCCAAATCAAAGGCATCCACAGTCACCACAGCCCTCACACACAGAATACTTATGCTGGCAAGAATGAAGCTTACAAAGAAATTCACCATCGCTCCCACCCTCTGCAACAATTCACATTAGAAATAGTGCAAAGCAAATGTCCCTCACTCTCTCTGAAAAGGCTGGCTAGGCCAGGGCACTTACAGATAGGGTGCATCTTGTTCAGGGCTGAACCCAATTCCATTTCTCCTGAGCTTCAAAAGCACTAAGAAGCCTATACATGACATCCACCAAAATTCCTCTGATCTGCACTGCCAGTTCAGTTAGGAGAGTTTTCTTTGAATCAGCTGTGGGTACACCTCCCCATCTCAGTTGCATGCAAAGGTCCCTTCACCTGCTTTTAAGAGATAATAGCAACTACTTATATCAACAAAAGAAGAAAAGACTCTTCTCTAATGCATCTATTGAACAGGCTTTCCTGTTATTCTCGCCTCTTACATGGGCACATAAGGCCAGTGCAATTCAGGCAGGTGATGGACATATGCACCTACTCTTTGAGGCTGTTTGGGAGTCAGGGATGAAGCTGCACAGGGGTGACTTCTCAGCTGGGATAAAGCAGCAGAAATCCAGTCACAGCAGGCAAGCAGAGCACCTTTTGCATCGAACACAAACGTCAGACCTCAGCAGCATTAGAGTCACCGTTGCCAGCTGATGCTGCATCCAACACAGGTTTAATATGCTTTTAAGATGAAGAAAAGCATCAGCAAGAAACCGGCTTCTCCCCACTTACCCCAATATCAATGAGACAGAAGCACCCAGGAACTATCACCAAGGCAGTGCAATCCATGGACACACCCCTGAGTGAAGCATCAAGATCTGGGATTCGATTTACTCTGGCAACGCATCAGGACACTTTGCTGAGAACAAGGACTTGTCTTCAAGAAGTCACTAAAAAAAAATTAAAAGAAAGAAAAACATCCAGGCTTAATTTAAATTGCTTTGCTTCCTTCTGCTTACAGCACACATCCTGGGGTTCTTCTATTCCCTCTGACATATTAATAGCTCGGCCTCTTTTGTTTCATGTTTGCATAAGGTTCTTGGGGAATTGTACACGGATGAGACAAAAGGAAGAAACAGATACAGTATTTATAATTTATAGGGGTTTGAAATGTCTTTCAAGGTCTCCTTGGCTCTTAAAGATATGAATATAAATTAAGAAACAAGCAATCTCCACAGAGCTCAGGGGAGCCCAAACTCATTGTCTTTGAAGAAGTTTTCATTGTTGGATACTATAAAATGTAAACAATGTCTCACCAGACACTGCACTACAGACCATGGAGATGGAAAAAATAGGGAATCTTCAACATTTGGACAAAGCAATGACCTCCAAGTCTTCAGGTCACAAGGAGGGGGAATACACCCAAGTGGGAAGCAACAGAAAAGGGTTGTACCTTGGTCCTATGGGGCACCACACAATTGTGATGGACACACACAGCACTGAAGATTTGAAGGTCCTTCACACCTCGTCACTGTGTGACTGAGACATCCTTGAAAGCCACATCCACACTTCCAGCTCTGTACTTATTTACTCCATCATCCATATGCAACAACAGTAAAGAAAAAGATGTGTTTCCCTCTTTTGCATCAAATAAGAAAAAGTTGTGCCCAGAGCTGACATTCCAATACTGAGGGGGGCTCATAATTAAGACTATCCTAAACTCTGGCCCTCAAATGAGATGATTCCTCATTAGAGGACACCCGTAGCACAGTCACACTGCCCATGCTGCCTGTCTCTAGCATCTCACACAGCCTAATTCCTGCCCAACTTGCAAGTGAAAATTAGCTCAGCATAAGTCCACCATCATTTCCAAGGGCATGGAGAATCAGGAGAATCCCCTTGGAATGAGGAAAGTCATAAAACTTGATTGGAGCTGGCAATCCTGAGAGGAGAACAGGTTTTGGTATTTTCACAGCTGTCTAAATATGCTGGTGACAGCTTAAACCCCAGGGTTTCAGACATGGTGCACAAAGATGGTCCAAGAAGTGACATCCCTCATCATTCATAGTGATGTTACCATGCACCTCTCCAATATAGGACATATGGGAGATAATTAATTTATGCACACATTTTTTTCCATTAAGTCCTCTCATGTTGATAGCAGGTGTAAAGTCCCACTGCCTCACCGAATTACTTGGGACACGGCAGCCAAGTTAGGCCTTACCTGGATCACAACCAGTGGAGCCTGAGGCATGGGGGAAAAGGCATCTCTTTGCTTAAATTTTGCCTTTTTAAATTTTTTTTAATTTTGCAGGAGGACGTGTGTTCGCAAACCCCCAGGACTGTGCCCAGCACCTGATGAACGGAGACACCCTGAGCGGTGTCTACACCATCTCCATCAACGGGGACCTCAGCCAGAGGGTGCCGGTGTTCTGCGACATGACCACCGACGGAGGCGGCTGGATTGTGAGTAGCTGTGGCCTTGTCCTGCATGTTGTCCCCATCACAGAGTAGCCAAGCCTCATCCTACCAGCAGAGCCAAGCCCCACGCTGCGCGGGAACGACAGCAGGCTTCATATTGCACGCTTCATTTCCCACGCCACGGGGAATGGCCCACGCTCCGGTAATAATAGTTACACTTGGAGAAATGCCCTTTGATTTATTTGACATGTTTGCAGTGCTTCTGGAGAGTAAAATCTGTGAGTGAAGCTGATTTATTGTTCTAGAAATGAAATTAATGCCCGGTAGCTTTCACGGGGAATGATTCACGCTGCCTGCGATAGGAGGGTGTCAGGCATCACCCCGGCTGAGTCTGCACAGGAGCACTTTAGAAACAAATGCCTCTTTGGCTTTTGAATTGCACAAACACTGCTTCTCTTGATGTAGATGGACTGACAGCATAAGTAAATAATGCCATGGTGCTTTGATCTTATTCATGTCAAACACTTACTTACACACATTACACAAAACCCTGCTAGATGTATAGTCAAAACCAAAAAAAAATGGGCTTCCTCAAATGCTGATTTCTAGCCAGTAGATTTTCCTCCATCTCTGCTTCAGAGCATCCCCTTGGATATCACAGAAATAGCCAGCTGAAAGCAGAATCATGCGCTAGAAAACCAGAGGCACTATGTGTTGGGTAGAGCAGAAAGCTCAAAGGCCAATTCCTTCCTATTCTCACATTGATTTGCCTTGGACATTATCTAACACCCCTTTTATTTCTCCATCTGCACATGAATTAATTGCATGGCTGCAATTAAAAATAACTGGATGGGCATTGCAATTTTCTCCCCTGAAAGGCACAATGAAATGATGAAGTATTATCTTTGTTAGGCTTCGGACACACAAAATAAAGACATTCCTCACCTCCATCACACTGATTTTCCCCCTGGTCTTCCTCCACCTCAGGTCTTCCAGCGGCGGCAGAACGGGCTGACCGATTTCTTCCGGAAATGGGCAGATTACCGGGTTGGCTTTGGAAACTTGGAGGATGAGTTCTGGCTGGGTATGACCTTCCCTGGTTGTCTTTCATCGAGGTGTCAAACCCAAGCTCCCTGTGCACTGTGCTGCTCACCTGTGCCAGCTGTTGGCTCCCTGCCTTTCACCACATTCCTCTACGCTCTCCCTCAGACAGTTTTCCTTCTGTTCATTCCCTGCCCTTCACATTAGAAGACACTCATGGACACGTCACGTAAAAGCACATGGTGAAGGTCAGCAGCTCCCTAACTTGCTCGTCCTAGAAGAAAAGAGGGGTACGCTGGGACTTTTCACGGACCAAACCCCATCATCCAATGACTACAGGTTGCATTGGTGACATCTACAGCTCATGGCCTTGGCCAGCAAGCCAGTTTTCCAAAGAAAGTAGGAAAGGAGTGAGTGGGAGTCCCAGCACAGTTCTAAAATTGAGTGTGCTCCCCCAAAACCTGAACAGGAGCCAAGGCCAGCCCTGCAGCGTAAACACACTCTGGCTTGTACAGGAGCTTAACAGCAACATAAGAAGCCACCAGCGCTCCACAGCTGAAGGTTCCCAGCTCCAGCAGCAGGGAGAAAGCTAAACCTGGGCCTTGAACTCATGTCTCCTAGGCTCAGAGAGGTGAAACTTGAGTGAGGACAGAGAGCTCAGGCCCCAGCAGTGCCAGGAGAGACACAGACTCACCAGAAGTGCTGCTGCTCTTCGATTCCTCTCCTCGCTCTCATTTCCCACAGCTGTCTTATTTGCTTAGAGCTTTCCCTGTTTGCTCACGGAGCGGATCCAGGCACCGAGTCTCACCAGGTGTTTCACTGTTTGCCTCAACAGGCTTGGACAACATCCACAAGATCACGTCCCAGGGGCGCTATGAGCTGCGGATCGACATGAGGGACGGTCAGGAAGCGGCCTACGCCTACTACGACAAGTTCTCCATCGGCGACGCCCGCAGCCTGTACAAGCTGCGAATCGGGGACTACAATGGCACTTCAGGTACAGCCTCACGGCTGGCAAGGATCTGGGGGAACCCTGGGGCCCGTGGGTCTGAGACTGTAAAGGAAATCCCAACATGTTGTTGCAAGGCTGACTTGTTTAGAGCAGCAAGACACAAACCCATAGTCCTTTCTGCCTTCCTGCAGTCCATCATCTAAACCAGGCTGATAAAGCCCACTAAGTACAGAGGGAATTTTCCATTGGGGATTAGATATTTAATATCAGAGACACTGCTGTTCAAATAACCAGGTCAGTCATCAGAGGTGTCATCCCACTTGGCAATAACGGCAGCTGGCTATTGATGCCGTGCTGGAGGGTGTATTTATCGCCTTTCCACAGCTATGGAAAAATCTGAAATCTTCTGCGTCATTTCCTCACGTAGAGGCCAAACACTGGCCAGCTTTGCAAGGACACTGGCACACCTGCTTGCCTGGTTGATGCAGGAGAGTTAGGCTTTGCCCACCAGAAAACAGAGGGTGATGGAGGAAGAGCACGGGGAGGTTTCTTCCCCAGGAAGGGGGAAAGGGGAACAACTGCAGCCCTTTAAGCTGGGATAGACATGCCCAGCACAGGCCTCCGTGACAAAACTTCACCACCAGGTACTTAGCAAGGAACCCCACACCACACCTGAGATGCAGGAATTTTCCTATTCAATAACTGGTAATAGCCACTGGAAGAGAAGTGACAGGAAACTTTCAGGACCACCAAGGAGTGTATTAAGAATGTCTCCTGTAAGTACATCACCCAATTGTAATAATGACCATATTTTACTTTGACTTTTCTTTCACCCAAAAGCAGCTCTCTAGCTCCTTAGCCAAGAGGTAAAATGAGGTTGGTGTGTTTAGTGGAATATGACATCACACACCTTCCCAAAACTTCTTCCTCTTATCCAAGAGGAGAAAAGGTGGCCAAGCATCTTGGTTCAAGACATGAATGCTGGGTCTCCTTTGGGAGAAAAAAAACTCCCTTTGGCTACCAGGAGGGTAGGAGGCTGAAAGCATCCTGAAATTATATAGCAGAGCCAAGCCTCAGGAAATCATGGATGCCAAAATCTGGGATTGAATTAATTTCTGGAACACTCAAATTCAGATCCAAACCCATATAGCACTTTATCTGACAAAGACAAGCAGCCTCTGAGATTTGCTATGGTCTGCACTGATCCTAAACAGACAGCAGAGGACCTCAGATGAACCAGTTGTGAGCAATTCCAGTTAATGTTATCCTCAGACTGTCAGCTGCTTGAGCCATTCATTGGGAGGCTACCACGTCACCAGAATATCCTAATTTCCCTGTGAAAAGACCAGATAACTCAGAATCCATCACCTTTGATGGCCGCTCTTTCCACAGGGGACTCCCTCACCTATCACCAGGGTCGCCCCTTCTCCACCAAGGACAGGGACAACGACGTTGCCGTGACCAACTGTGCCATGTCCTACAAAGGGGCCTGGTGGTACAAGAACTGCCACCGCACCAACCTCAACGGCAAGTACGGAGAGTCCCGGCACAGCCAGGTAAGGGCAGGGCTGCCCTGAAACCCCCTGGCATTTCTTCTAGGGGCTGGGGCTGCATGGTCGCTGCACCAGGTCAGGGGCACTGCTGGGGTAACCCCACACCAGCTGGAGCAAAGGGAGCTGATGCTTTGTGCCTCAGAGTGGCTGCCACGGTCATTTTGCTGTGGCATCTTGTTGTGTTGCCTTAAAAAAAAAATACCTATGTGTAATTTGATCAGAAGCCTTTGAGCAGTGAGGGAAAAAACCAGTCAAGCCATAGCAGCAGGAGAGTTTCTTGCTCCTGCTGTAGCAAGTTCTTCCTTCTGGCTTCTCTACAGCAGTCAACCTTATTTCCTTCCTCTCCCACTCTAATTTCTTCTTTAGAAGAAACTAGTTTCTTCTTAGGGTCTTTTCTTTACCCTCTGCCTTTCTCTCCCTCCTGCCAGGGGATTAACTGGTACCATTGGAAAGGCCACGAGTTCTCCATCCCCTTTGTGGAAATGAAGATGCGACCTTACAACCACCGTAACGTCTCTGGGAGGAAGCGACGGTCCCTACAGCTCTGAGCCAGCTGAACCCCCTCCTGCCTCCCACCACCTGACCTTTTCTGTCATTTGTTTGTATTTTATAATATGAAAAGGGAAAAAAAAAAAATTACTACTCGTCTGAGATAGCAACCTGCCCCTCACAAATGCTGGAGGGAACCACGGCACAAGGAAAGGCCGTGGGAAAGGGAAGACCTCATTGCTTTGCATCTGTCCCAGAGAAATACCAAATTTCCAGTCTCCCTAACCCAATACTCTGACCCTTAACATGAGAAGAAAGAGAAAGAGACAGATTTTTTTGATATTTTTTTAAAAGATGTAGAAATCCCCAGCAAACCCTGTTAGAATGTTTGTCATGGGGCTCGTGGCTGGAACCTTCCCCACAGGGACCTTGGTGCGGCCATTTCCACCCCAGTCATGGCCAGGGGTGCCCATCCTCTCCCTACCTTGTGTCCCCTCCTGGCAGGGAGGTCCCAGGCTTCATGCCATCCTGTAGACACAACTCTCCCAGCAGGCAGAGGCCCGTCTCTCCCCTGTGGGCAGCCTCTGAACACATGGAGACCAAGCGAGGATGAGCAAATGCAAGGCTCACCCCCTCCCCAGTTTTCACAGATCCCACCCAGAGGGCTTGGCAAATACCTGCATATGTAGGCAAACTCCAGAGAGCCCATGGCTCGTGTGTTGGTCCCACCACAGCCACACAGTCATCCTTGTGGGCATGGGGTGTAGGGGAACAAGAGCTGCTCCACCAGCCCCAACATGCATTATCCACTCCTCTGAGCTGAATTCGTCCCGCTCCAGGTGCACGTCGGCCTGGGTTATGCTGAGCTTGATGCAGAAGAAAGGACTTAAATTAGAAGACCTGGGAGAAAAATCATTCCTTTTGGCCCCGAAGCCTAGGGCCCATTTCCTCTGCTATTTTTACATTTCTGCCATGCTCTCTCTCACCAAGGTCATTGGTCCCAAACCAAAGGGTCTCAGAGAAGGAGCAGCAACCAAAAGTTACCACACAACCACAGCCCAGGCTGAAGCCAACAGCTGTCACAGCCCAGGTGCTCCTGTTCATGGACCTCCATGCACACAGGGAATGATGACAACGCAGCCAAGGGAAGAGAAGTGCAAGCTGAGGAATTCACATTCCCTTCCTTCTCCTACAGCATCCCTCTTCTATGCCATCAGAAGAGGGACACAAATCTCAGTGCCTTGGTATCACCATCTCTCTAACAGGGAATCAGCTGTTTCCCCTCTTGGAAGAAAGGCTTAGTCCATTCAGATTTTGGAGCACTTCAAGGCCCTTGGAAGAGTTAATGAGTTTGCTCTTCCCATCCTTAACTTCTCCTGTCTCAAGGAAGATGGACCCTTCGGATAGCTCTGGCTGTGCTCTGTTGTGATTGACACCACCTCCACATAGCCCAAATGGCCACCATGCTCGAGTCACCCCTCTGCCGAGGGCTCTGATCAATGCTGGGCATTGTCACTGGCCTGGTCTTGGAGAAGGGACGCGTCCCCATGCCCAAGGACAATGCAGCTCATCACTGGGTTCGCAGCCAAGGGAGCATTACAAATGCTGAACACTGCGTTTTCTTTTTATCACACTGAAGCTGCTTTGTCTCAAAAACATTTTCCAGATGGCAACATAAAGGCATCTTTGCAGTGGGTTATAATTCAGGCCAGTGTCTCTTTCACAGCCACACTCCTGAATGTTCTGACGTTACTCACCATGGCTGCAGAGTTGAAGAGGGGCATTAAGTGGGGAATGCAGCCTCCTCATCCGTGATACGTACTGGCACACGGAATCACTGCTAACCCCAAGGTCAAGACTAGATACAGGGTCCAGCCCCCCACGTGGCCAGCTTACAAGCTGCAGTCTGACCTGAAGAGAGGATGCTGTAGCTCAGCAACATCTCATATGTAAATGAGGCATCTCTTCTTATTTCCCATCAG